AGCGTGACACGTGACACATGACACATTTACCCCCCCCCCCCCCCCCCCCCCCGCCCCCGAGCTTTGTCCTTTCAGGCATGCAAAACACGAGTACCCCTCCCCCCCCCCCGGACCCACCTGCTCGTTGTTGAGTTCCGCCAGGAAGGGCACCTTTCGCAAGAACTCGCACCGCGACAAGATCTGGCTCGACGCCGTGGTGGCCAGGGAGCGGCGGAAGGTGGACAAGTCCATCGTCCACAGCCGGCTGTCCGAGGTGGCCCTGACCGTCGCCGCTCTCTCGCAGTTGTACATGAGGGCGAGCTCGCCGAACGAGCCGCCGGGACCGTACCCGCACACCCGCTCCCCGTTCACGTACGCCTACGCGCGCGTGTTCATGAGTGCGTAGCACACAAAAGTTTGTTTTGTGACCGGGAAGGGAAATAGGGAGAGGAGGTGGATGGGATGGGGTAATCGTTTTCCTTATTCGCGTTGCCACGTCACCAGGAGACCAACCAACCAACCCCCGGCTCCCACTGCTGTCCCAACCAATCAACCGCAACGCCCGCAAAACCATTCACCTCACATCATGCAACCCCCCCATTAAGCCTACACTCGCGAGTGCACACAGAGCGGGGAATAAAGTCTCCATCCCCCCGCCATGCAGCGACACACACGCACCCCACACGCCTGTCGGGAGAACCCTTGCCCTTTGATGACAACTAGTCTGCATTTTATTATCCCGCTACATGTGTAAGACTGACGTGTTTTCCTTGGTCAGCCGGTTAGCGCGGTCGATGCTAACCACGAAAAGCACCCAACCCAACGCACCTCGGCAGACCCAGACTCCATGACGAAGAAGCGCGATCCCCGCTCCCCCTGCACCACGATGTCCTGCCCCGCCGACATCTCCAGCAGCCCCATCACGTCCACGCACGCCGAGAGGTCGGTGGGCGTGAGCTGCGCGAAGAGGAAGTGCCCCCTCAGTGCGTTCGACAGCGCCGCCCGCGCCTCGTCGGACTTGGGGACGGCCGGGGACGGAATCTCTGCGTCCCCGCCCTGACCGAAGCTGGCGAACTCTGGTGATGACAAATGAGCGACGCGAGTACAAGCGCAGTAATGTATGCACGCATGCACAGCAGTATGTCTTAAGAAATATGCACGCGGTTCTTGCACGGAGAAACGGAACGGGTGCTTGCCGACGATACGCAACGGGGGGGGAGCAGGGCGTGGCGTGCTTTGGTTCTTGGGGCCGCGTCACAAGAGGGTGCACGTCACAAAAGACAAAAAGAGGGTGCAACATCGAAAGGCCGCCAAGTCCTACTGTAGTAGACGCTTTTGGGCGGCCGCTTTTGCTGCTGCCTGCATCGTGTGCCGAGAAGAGGCAAGTCTCTCTCGCCGTCCTTTATCGTAGATAGCGGTGATGTCAAGGGTAGTCAATCACAACCCGGCACACGGCAAGACCAACGACACTAAGGACACGAAGCTAGTGCAAAAATCAACGCCCAGAAAGTCACATGAACGGCCTGCCGAAAGCCCTGGAAGCGGCGCGCAAAGCGTGCTATCTGTCGCAGGCCAGGGCACGCAAGACACACACGCCAAGAGCGCCTTGCCAGACGAAGAGGGTGATGGTCGGAATGCTCTACCAATCAAGATGGCGGTAATCAGCACACACACATACGCAAACACGAAACGCTCACTCCTGCGTGAGAGAACCTTAAGAGGGAGGGCCAAGACGCCAACCATCGCGAGAGCAGAGGGCCCAACAAACACCACCGGCAGCCTTCGATGGGAAAGTGTTCGTGTTTCTTATCCCGCCACAAGACGGGTGCCTTGTATTTTTCATTGGTCAGCCGGTTAGCGCGGTCGATGCTAACTAAGAAACAAACACACACACACACACACGCACGCGCAACGCACACACACACACGCGCAACGCACCATCCGGGTTGTTGACGATGGGAACTCTCTTCTTGTTGGCGCTCGAGGGCAGCGGAGGCGACACGTCCATGCTCTCCGTTCCCTCCTTCTCCTCCTGGCTCGCCACGGCCGAGTCCGTCTTCATGGGGTCCCCGTCACTCCCGACATTTTCAGCATCGCCGTCTGCACCCCCGCCGCCACTCCCCGCGCTACCGCCGCCGCCACCCCCTGCGCTACCGCCGCCCTCCGCGTCGCCGCTACCCGCTGCCACTCCCTGCGCTGCGGGCGGCAGCGGCGGCATAGGGCTCACCTCTGGGTTTTCCGAGAGAGACATGCCTTCGTTCTCCTTCTCCTTCTGCTGCTGCTGCTGCTGCTGCTGAGGGGAGGAGGGGGATGATTTGATTATCCCCTTGATCTTGCGGCGGATTTTTTTCATCACGGCCTGTTTGGTTGATTGAGGCGGCCACGGCAGAGAAGGTTGGGGCGGGGGGGTGGGGGGGGGGGGAGGAGGTTAGTACAAGGAGATACCCACTAAGAGGTGTGCTTGAGGGTGATGGTCAGCTCAACAGACTGCGCCTTCGATACCGTCGCACGTTCGTCGTGCCGTACATTCAACTTGCCAACCCGGGCACGTCCAAGAGGTGGCTGGTTGCCTGCGGCAATGTACCAATAGCAAAAGATGCAAGCAACTGCGTTGTTTTTCAAGATCGGTTTCTTTGCCAACGCAACATTAGAAAGAGGTAAACGATAAAAAAAGGGTATACGCTGGTCGAAAGCGACTCAGCTGGGTACGTGTTGTATGCATATTTGACGGCGTCAAGAGAGCCCAGCTGATTGGTCATGTCCACTTTCACCCTGCCGTGTCCGAAATAGCCCAGGGTATACCCTCCCACGGCTACTTCTCTCCAGAACTGCTGTACCCTGATTTTCGGAAAGGTACCCTGATCTGACGGGAAATGGGCTCTCGTTCGTCGTACATTTCCTCTGCAGAAGTCCACTTCCGATTCCAACCATAGGATATAATTTGTCCTGCCCGCGCAGGGCTGCCCCCGATCCGAGGTCCGTTTTCCTTGAACGCGGGTGGTTGAATCCAACGAAGTGTTCTCCAAATCAAACGGCACAAGAGTTGCTTTGCGCGAACAGTCGGCGCGCGGATTTTGCCGAGGCTTTTGCCTGTATGTCAACTTCTTACCCTAACCGCAATCCATTTCTAACCTCTCGCTGCGGCTCCATCCCTGGCCTTGTGCTTGAGAGTTGCTTGCTTGAGAAGATCTCGGTGTGCTGCGGCAGCAACGACACGCGCCCGATTTGCAGATGAACGAGCTTGTCTGGTGTCAACTATCTCGTGATGACTCCACTTGATTTATGTCCAACGCAGCAGTTTGTTATAATACTTTGGCCAAGCTAGCACGGGCGTTGGCCTCGGTGGAACGTTCAGGCCGTGTACCTTTCTAGTAATCGTGTCCTTTGGCTCCGGCATGGCCCTCTCGTATATCATATACACAGCACAGTAGTAGCAGTACCGTAAAAGGAGCAGCGTATCTGCGTACAACTTATTTTACCTATCTGCGCCAGAGCTGCATGTCCAGCGGCAAGAAGAATCGATAGAGCGATTTTTTCCAGTACACAGGGCAGAAGGACTATAATGACTCTGTTGTGGGGTTGTCCTGTTGGGGATCGAAAATGCAAGGAAGGTCACCGACAGTCCACAGTGCATCAGCACAGCAGTCATGCAGAGAGGGGGTGCGGTGCCTGAGGTTGAATTGTAAATTTTGTGACATAGGCGACACACACAAAAAAATAGGAGTGTGCCACACTCAGGTACACTAGAGGTTGATGAAGCACGGCCGACACTGTCATGTACAAATCAGATGGACGGAGGACTGCTGTTTCGCAATGTAGTTGCTTGTGGAAGGCTGGCGAGATGGATATGATATGCCTGTCAAGGTGCACACGCGGAGAAAAAGCTCAAAAACAATCACAAAAAAGTTGCTGAAGATGTAGGTTGAAACATCAAATGTCGTTTCGTCGCCTACAAGCGTCAACAGCCCGATGTGAAGGGATGCGCAGGTAGCCCTTTCGATGCTCCTTTTCGGGAGCTGCTTACTTTGCCAACTGGCAGCCAAATGATTTCGCAAGGTCCGTTGGTACGTTTTGCGAAAGACGTATGCAGAAAATGTGCAAGCTGACGCAGGCAACCGCTGGAGGGGGTGGGTGACGGTAAATACCCCCCCCCCTTGTCCATGCGTTACAAATTGCGTCTCCCCCTAGAACAAACCTTGCTCATACGTCGTGGTCCGATCTGGGGGGCGCACCAAAGGCACGAGAATCGAGCACAGCAGTGTAGTTCTAGCTCCACTTTCGTGCAAGTGGTCTCGAGGGTATTAGTGTCTGTGAAGATTGTGGGGTCTGATATTTGGTGGGAGGCGACCTCGGCTTCTGGATGGCGAATTTCTGTCGTGCGGGGTGCACGCGCGGGGTGCACGTCGGACGGCTTTGAATCTTAGCGCACAGTTGTATCGACTGGGTTATCGCTGGCTCTCATAGTTTCGTCGACGTAGTGGAGCAGGTTGAGGAGTTGTCCATGCGGGAAAAAAATCGTTTGATCTGCTGGGCGGCGGAACAGCAGCCAGATTTGGCTGCATCGCTGATTGTAGGCGTGCTCGCGTGCTCGCTCTGCTCGCCATCAGCGTTGCCTAGACTAGCGGGGCGTTCCTATCCCGTCCTAGCGCATCGACCCGCGGCTAGCATGAGGCTGTATCTTGCTCGGTTGGTGAGAAGGTCGCGGGAAAAAAATACGTGGACTTAGGTTCCGGGCGAGCGGCGCCTGTGAAGAGGTGGTTTTTGGTACTTTCCGGAGTAGGGCCGCGAACCTTGTAGTCGTAGCTTTGTTGAGCCCAGAGAATTCAGCCGCGGCGAAGCAGAGACACCACAAAAGACGTCAAAAGGATGCTGGTGTGGGGAAAAGCAAGAGACACAATCCTTGCGTTTGGCACCGGTGTCGCTACGACTGAAATTCCTCGGACAGGGCCGTCGAGGGGTAGGTCGCGCGCAGGCACCGCCGCGGTTGCGTGTGCGTAGCTTTTCGCGAGTTGAGAGAAATCGGCCGCGGTAAAAAAACCGCCTTCTAAGAAGGGCGGACAAAATCATTCAGCTTCTCTTCTTTGCCGCCCAGAAACCATTCCTATTTCGGATTGGAACCAACCAGAACTCTTCCCTCTCGAAACAACCAATGGCTGGCACACAGCACATTATATTTCCATTGGGAAAGCATCCGAGGTATGTATGCGAGATACGAGTCATCACGCTCTGAACGCGATCGATCCCAAAGAATTGTGCTGGAGGCCCGGAGGCTCAATGGGCTGCCTTCTGCACCCAACCCTGATTATAAAAGATGTGCTGGGCTTGTTAGGTGGTCTTCGAATGACGAGAAAGAGACACAGAGACAGAGGCGCACATGACCTCTGGCGCCTCGCGACTGCTGTTCGGTTTGGTGCTGTTATCAGAAAGCACATGGCGTGTGCTGCGGGTCGCCGTTCGCTTTTTGTTGGCACATAAACGCCGTTACGCCTTCCTCGCATGTGCAACAATACCACATCGCTGGGTGTGCTGTGCGTTTATTCAATGGGCCAAGCGACAGAAAACGGTACGGTATATGTCGGCGACACAAAACGGTACACAAGGAAAGTGAATCAAGAACTGACCCCGAAGTCTCAACGGTGATTGGCCAATCCACCATGGACCGTCTGTTTGGCGGTTCACTCAGCGGTGTACTGCTGTGTACTGCAACCGGGTCTCTCGGGGTCGGCTTGTGCACCGTTTTCTCTCGTTCTCGTTACATTTTTTCTGTAGCAATAAAGAACGCCCGCTCAGGCCATTCGATTTGAGGGGACGAGTCATAAGACCATGTCAGACTTGCCCGTCCCAAATCACACTCGAGAGGGATGGTGAATACAACCGCCCTCATCCACTAATGTCGAGCACAGAGAACGATACCAACACATACCGCCAAGAGGCGGAGAGATGCCCCCCCCCCCCCCCCCCCCCCCCCCCC